ACCGCCGTTCATGGGACCGGGCCTTGGTCTTATTAAAAAAAAAAAAAAGTGGACCTACAGCATTTCTAGTTGAGGACCACTGGTATACACAGTGAAAGAGTGAAAGAACAATGGAGGCTTAACGGTGACTATCCATCCATCCATCCATCCATCTATTTTCCAATCCGCTTATCCTCACAAGGGTCGCGGGGGGTGCTGGAGCCTATCCCAGCTGTCATCGGGCAGTAGGCAGGGGACACTCTGAACAGGTTGGCAGACAATCGCAGGGCACACACAGAACAACCATCCGCGACCACACTCACACCCTTTCATTTGCTCGATGGTGTCATCAAGCAGTAAGCTACAGTGAAAGAGTGAAAGAACAATGGAGGCTTAATGGTGACTCCAGGCAAGACTTTACATCAACATTTTTTTTTTAATGATGAATCAAGGGACAATTTAGAGCAGTAGTTCTGAACCTGGGTTCGATCGAACCCTTGGGTTTCGGTGAACCAGTCTCAGGGGTTCGACGGAGTCTGCCATGGAGGTTAAGACATTTTCCAATCCGCTTATCCTCACAAGGGTCGCGGGGGGTGCTGGAGCCTATCCCAGCTGTCATCGGGCAGTAGGCAGGGGACACTCTGAACCGGTTGGCAGACAATCGCAGGGCACATACAGAACAACCATCCGCGATCACACTCACACCCATAGGGACAATTTAGAGCAGTAGTTCTGAACCTGGGTTCGATTGAACCCTCGGGTTTCGGTGAACCAGTCTCAGGGGTTCGACGGAGTCTGCCATGGAGGTTAAGACACGCCCGACTCAACATGTCAATGAGCTATGACACGCCCGCTTGGCCATCACTGGCTGGCTGCAGATGATCACATTACATTGCTTGGCCAATCAGTGCCACGGGAAATTTAGTTTGCTCTGTAGTCAATGTGGGACTGTCGTGATAGTACGTCGTGTAATTTTATTAAATTTTTTTTTCAATGTTTTAACACATGCTATGTCGTGTTAAAGAACGTGGTCGGATGACTATGTACCACAAGGATTCACATGCATCGCAGAACGTGATGGGACTCAGCGTCCTATCTGCATGATTTGTCATGCCAAGTTGAGCAACTCTCGTCTCACACCGATAAAACTGAAGGAACACTTCTTGAATCCAATTTTTATTTTTCACTAAGGTTTCGGTTGGATGCGCATATAAACTGGTTGGGTTCGGTACGTCTAACAAGGTTAAGAACCACTGATTTAGAGTGTTCAATGAGCCTGTCATGCATGTTTTTGGAATGTAGGAGTAAACCGGAGTACCCAGAGAAAACCCACACAGGCACAGCCTAACGGTGACTAAATGACCATAAGTAGCAAGATTGTTTGTGAATAACCTTAAATAAATATGAGTTTAAATCGGTCAAATGTAAAGGAGGACCGAACTCATGACTCTGTATTTGTTAGGACATCACTCTATCGACTGTACCAAATGAGGACCTGAGTTCTTGGTTTGCAACGAACGGTACATATGAAGATAAAATGACTGCAAACCTACATTCCCAAACTCACCAACTAACTTTAACCCTTTCATGCACACTGTGACCTGACAACCCGACAAACTGTCCACTGTAAGGGACCATCATAATGACCCAAAGGAGGTTTAAGGATCATGCGTCATCTCTCCCACCTCATGGAACTTACGAGTGTGATAATGACTTGTTCCTTAGTGCCCCTTACACTTCCATTTTTTTTTTACCTGTCCAGGCCTGACAGGGAGTCCATGGAGGTTTATGTAGTTGACTCCGTTGCTGCCGGATTAATTAGTCCCTCGTTTTGCCCCCACTGGGGGCAGGATTCTTTGTTGTTGATAAAATGGACAACACTTTTCGGCCCTTTATTGACTACCAGGTCCTAAATGACATTATGGGGAAGAACACGTATCCTCTTTCATTTACTGACTCGGCCTTCGGCTCCCTCCATCAAGCAACAATCTTTTCCAAATTGGACCTCAGTAGAAATGAACCACTTGGTGAGAATAAAAGGGGGGATTGAGTGGAAAACTGCTTCTAACACTCCTCTCTTGGCCACTTGGAGTATCTGGTAATGCCTTTCGGACTTACAAACGTACCAGCTGTTTTTCAGGCTCTCATCAATGACATCCTATGAGACATGCTCAACCAGTTTGTTTGTTTGCTTTGATGACAATCTCATTTTCTTCCCGGGACAGTCAAAGAACATATCCAGAATGTCAGACTGTTGTTACAATTTTTTTTTTCTACTAGTGTGAATCTGTTAAAGATGAAACGTTTTGTCAACTTTTCACAATTAGAGAATATAAAGAATCACTTACTTTTCAGTAAAAACTGCAGTTTTAGCTTGCAAAGAGGTGATGCGTTTTCATCTGAGGTTTCCCAGTATTTCGAGGTTCCATTTCCATTGGACAAACTGATTCTTTTTGTGGGAAAATCCTGAAGCATGATTTCAAATACATAGACACCTTCGCTGACATGCCCTGTCTTTTCAAGTGTGCAAGTATTCTGGTTCAAGGAAAAAAATGAAACGGAGGATGTCATTACCATTCATGTATTATTCTTTGACAATTTTGTATTCTGAACGCAGAGAGGTACAGTTGACCTCCGCATACTCGCGGCTTGGCACCCGCAGGAGCGCAAATGTGTGGATTTTTTTTCCCGGGATTTTCTCCTCATTTCCTCCCATTTTTCATGGAGGAAATATAACTCAACATAATTTGAAGAATATTTGGGGTTTTTAAGCAACAATTCCTCCCTCCCACCACAAAGCATTTCAATGGCTGTCAATTGTATGTGGATTTTCATTATTGGTCCCTATCCCCTGTTAAGAGCGGTGGTCAACTGAATACATATTTTTCTAGGTTGTTGGTTGGCCATGCTTACATAAAAAGCCACAAACTATGTTGCCCTTTTAACAAATAGGTAGAGTGCCACAATATTCAGGAATTACCTCATTGAGAGTGATATTTTTATGAACCGCAGCATCTGCAGGCCAGTGACACTTCACGTGATCTCCATCTGGATCATATGCTAAAAGATGCATATTTGAAAAACAGTTCTGGTGCACCCTGCATGAAAACAGAAGCATTATTCAGAGTCAACAGAAAAACATCAGTCCTTGATCAGGCGCTCATTGAAATTGCAAGTTCCATAATTCAACCCATACATCCATTTGCTGATAACAACTGTACTTCAAACATTCATTCATTGAAAATTAACTGTTTAATCTCCTGTCATGTGGTTTATTGCATACTGGGTCTTAGGAAAACTTTATTTACCTTAAGGAGGACACGGTAGTCGTTACGGGACAGTTGTTAAGGGTTTCAGTGTCCGATCGTGTTCTGAGGTCCATATGGGCATAGGCTGTCCAATTAGTTTTCATGTCATTGTTAGTTGCCCAACAGCAACCTTTGTTACTGAAAGAAATATTGTTATCGCCAATCTCTCATTAGTTTTCAGCATAAATATACCTCTAAACAGCATTTTTTTTCAACATTCCAGTAATATGGTGCTGTTCCATTGTGACACAAATGTCGGTGACTAGAATGAAAGAGAATGAAAGGGACTGACAACGCAAAATGTCCAGCGTTGAGTGACTTAAGCCCGCCTATCAAATAAGAAGTAGGCTTGATTTATACTGTAAAGTGGTTCCCCTGTTCAACATGAAAAATATTAAGTTGGTCCAAAATTAAGCGTGCGGGTTTAGCACAGCAAGGTGACATACAAACGGGTACTAACTGTTTCATTTTTGTCAAGTGGCATGTTGAGATAAATACCATATTTTCCGCACTATAAGGCGCACCTAAAAGCATTCAATATTCTCAAAAGCCGACAGTGCGCCCGATAATCCAATGCACCTCATATATGTTGTCACAGTCTCTTTATATTCCCCACTGAGTTGTTTCCCTGTTAGTGTTTCTCTGCCATCTCGTGGTGATTAGCAGGAACCAATTGTAACCTAAAAGGGTTCTACCTGTCAATAATTGACATGTGCATCACCAACATACACTCAAACAAACAGACAACTACTTTGTGAGCTCTGCGCAGCCATAATGAAATGAATATAATACCAATAGCATAGCTAACCACTGACTAAACCGGGGGTCGGCAACCCGCGGCTCCAGAGCCGCATGTGGCTCTTTAGCGCCGCCCTAGCGGCTCCCTGGAGCTTTTTCAAAAAATGTTTGAAAATGGAAAAAGATGGGGGAAGGGGAGTTTTAATACGGTTTCTGTAGAAGGACAAACAAGACACAAACATTCTTAATGTTTTCCAATGCTTTAAAAATGTGTAGAATAAATATTAAATGTAAAAAGGACTGGATGCCAGACAGGTGGCTGTCATGAAAAAAAAAACAGCATTTCATGTACAATTCACTGAGGGTACTGGCAAAGAATGGGAATGTGGATGGCTGAGAGAAGCATTTTAAATGCAACACGTGAGCTACGATAGTAAACACGCTGGAAAAGTGCGTCCCATGCCTCGTTCATCTTTGGGGCCGTTAAGGCTGTTGCTCATTATGGCATTCGTGTGTAAATGAGTGTGTATGTGCGCGTGCGGTAATGGGTCGATCGCTGGAGGTTGGTTGATCGAAAAGTAGATCTTCCGTCAAAAAAGGTTGGGCACCCCTTCTCTACAGGATGCTTTGCAGGGGAAAAACATTTAATCGTGAAGACTCATTGTGTATTTGTAGCCAACTTAGTCATTTTGAGAGTAGGCAAATACTGTGTAGCTAATATAGATTGTTCAGGAATTTATTCCTACCTGTGATTTTTTTAGCCCCTCTCTGTTAGTTGGATCTGTTCAAACACTTGAAAGAAAGAACGTAGTATGCTGTTGAAGGTATTTCCTGCTTACTGTGATTACAATCACCTTTAGTGCCACTTGACCCCCATTACTTTTAGGGCCCCCTCCAGAGGACATGTTTAACATCAAAAGAGGAACTGTTATCTCAAGTATCTGTGTTGCTGCCATCACATCAAAGCTCAGACTGAAGACAATAGGGGGTAGTGGTGGTCTGGTCTCACCTCACCACTCCCAACTTTTTCCACCCACATCGGGTCAAATGACATGTTAATTTCTTTGTTTCCGGAATTTGCATGGAGGCGGAACTGCCCGCCTCTCATTATCATATTGTCTCTATATATTCTCATGACTGGATGGATTTTTTTTCTACGCTTCCTGACGAAATCTGAAACTCTCAGGAGCCCGAATTGATTCGTATTGTGTTGTGATAAACTGCAGAAAAGACAACGTGGTGTTGGGTCTTTCTTCCACCTGATAGAGAAATAAAAGAACCTGTGTCCAAGGAGGGCCGTAAGGAAATGGACAAACCCCCTCCTCAACAAGATTCATACAGCATGTGTTGCCTTCAATGTAAGGCTTATATAAGGCTTTTAATTTTTTGCAGCTCCAGACATATTTGGGGGTTTCTTTGGTCCAATATGGCTCTTTCAACATTTTGAGTTGCTGACCCCTGGACTAAACCAAGCAAGAAGGAAATAAGCAACTTCTAAGGATATGTGAATTATGAGCCGACGAAATTTGCGTGCCTTATTGTTGAATCAATTGTCTTCATAACTTTTGTCTTTCATTTATTGTATTGTAATGCCATTTGTATTAATATGTTTCATATCCGTGTTTGTGACCAGCTCTCATGGCTTTGTTACAGCTGCAGTGGTTGTGAAAGCTCTATTTAAATAAAGCTGTATTATATTGAATTCTCTTTGGTGTAGCTCCATCTAGTGAATGCATAGCGCAACCGCAGCCACTGTTGTAGCTTCTATTCTATGCGCCTTATAATGAATGCAGTGCACCCTATATTCTAAAACCATTTTAAAATAGGCCATTCATTATAATCCAAAGCGCCTTATAGTGCAGAAAATATGCTACTATGACAATTGTTTTTGCTGTCAATAATTGGACAGCCCAAGATATACATATTCTTTACCTTAAGTCAACCCCCTTTTCTTTATTATTGTGCAATGATCTATCATAAAGCTATTATGGCACATAGTCTTACATAAAATGAATATAAACTTGGCAACTTCCAATACCAATAGATACATGAAGAAAATGTCAACATTGAACAGCTTTTCATTTGACGGCTATGTGTAACGTATGTTCATAGGCCATTAAAAATGATCAGGAATCTGAAAGCCTTTAGTCATATACCTCAGAGAAATATGGGAAACATTCAGTAAGACGTTTGCCTGGGTAAATCTGCCAGATTGACACCATCTGCCCTGGCCCGTGTTGTCCTGGTCTGTTTGCATGACAATACTGTGGACGAAGCTTTTACACTCCTCACATGTAAAAGGTGATGAATGAACACAGTTATTCCTGCCATTCTGTTGGTGATGGAAGGCCACCTACAGAGACAAGTTGTGGAGAATAGATCAGATGAATGTTAGAACTCACTCGTGTTTCCATTTGTACACTATGCTCAAGGAGGAGTGTTCTCCTTGCTGAGCTTTAATTAGAACTTGAAAACAGACCAATATTTTGTATTGGTGAACTGTTCAATTCCTCTCATACATCCATTTCTATAGCACTTATACTGTTCGGGGGAACAGGAAAGCTGTAGTCTATCCCAGTTGATTAGAGGTAAGAAATACAATACGCACTTTATCCATCATATCTCAGTCAGAGGATTGACACAATGAGGCAGACAAACATTCGCACTCACATGCAGAGACCTTCAATGGACATAAGAAGTCTACACCCCCCTATTCAAACGCAAGGTTTTTGTGGAAAAAAAAAAAATAGACCCAGACAAATGTTTTCACATTTTTCCACCAGCAATGTAACCAATAGCCTCTACAACGCAATTGAAAAAGATTTGTTTTTCTTGAGGGGGAAAATAAACAACTGAGATAAATTGCCTGCACAACTGTTTTGTTTTGCTTTTTGTGCTACTGCTGTTTTGCTCTTACTGGTGACCCCAGCAACACCCGCATGAAAACACAACTGTAGGTGCCAATTTGATATTGGTCGAATTTTGTGTGTTCCATTTGCCGTTTAGTATTAATATGTTCAATTGGCATATTTCCTAATTTAGTAGAAATAGTCGACATTGTTATTTTATGCATCTCTGAGTGTTTCTTTTACAGAACTATTTGTTGTGACGTCACGCGACTGTCGAATGAAGACACGGTGGAGAAGGAGTCAGACAGAGAGAGATGAGGCCAGCTGAAGATTAGAAGCTATACAGTTTTTTGACCATATAATACCGACAATTAGACAACCCAAAGAGAACCTTTTTTGTATACTTTATTTTTTAATAAACAGAAAATACAAAGAAGTCAATGTCGTGTACTTGTTTGCGTTCAAGACTCGTCGTTACGCTGGCCTCAAAGGTGCACCGGAATAGCACCGACAACAACCAAACCATTCTGGTCGATGCTGTTTTTTTATCTATTTATTTATTTATCTCAAGCAGGGAAATCAACCCCCCCCCCCCTCAGTTTTACACGTAATTATATTTTGTTAGCTCGACCTCTGCCATAGTTACAAATAATCTCAGCAGTTTGACTTGTAGCGCTTACACAATGGCAAAGGGACGATGCATTTTTGACGATTTATTTAGTCTTGACACATGGATAAACTGTTTTGGGAGAGATATGAGCTTTTGCAAGTGACCTCCTGAACCATCCAGGTTATTTTTGGTAGAACATTTAAAAAAAGTAATTTAAAAAATAATCATGAAGAAATTTTAAACATAGAGAATCGAGAGCTTTGTTTTAAAATTCGAACAAAAAGTGGAGGGAGCTTCCAGGGTCATCAGCATGTCTTAAGCTAAATGAAAAACAAAACAAGTAAATAGCTCCCTAAAGTTTTCTGCAGTAAATTAAGTTTCCAAATTTTCAAAACAGGAAGAATTAGAGAAAAAACCCATACAAACATTGGGAGAAAATTTCCACTCAGACTAGAGCCATGCGATTCAATCCAATTCCAGGCCCAAACCATATTGCGAAGGCGATTGTTGCCTTAAACTTGCAAAGTTTACTTTATCTTACTCACTTAATTACTGAGTTACTATTGAAAGCACCATTTGTTAATTAGCGCATGTCACACAAAGCCTTGAGTCGGAAAACATGAATCATAACATTAGCATAAAGTGGAACACAATACCTGAATATTTCCATCAGGGTCCTTGTGTGGCTTAATAAAACTAATGTTATCCCCATGAAAATCTTCAGCTGAAGTTAACCTCAGTACTGCCAATAGCATTAGTAGGACACATGCTGCCATGATGTCTTCAGGAATCTGTTCTTAGCCTGCTTTGTCAGTTCCTGAGCTCTGAAAGGTATTTTGCTTTGAAGTCCACCTAACAGGTCAAACCTGATACCAAGTGAAATGTTTTTCTTCTTTTCTCACCTCAAACATAACTTTCTTTATCTCTTTCTTTATAATTCTAAGATGAACTTCAGTTCGGGTGTGTGTAAAGTCATAGTTCCATGATTGACCTGAGGAGCTGAGAGCAAGAAACTACTGTTTTGTTTTGTTTTTTGTTAAACTGGTTTATTTTTCATTCTCTCGAAAAATGAAGAATGGAATCTGAACCCATTTTAGCACTAGACTGTGAAAGACTCATGACTACAGTCGAAAGTTTCAGACAACTAATTATAGCGATGAGGAAAAATAAGTGGGTAAGAACTATGTACTGTATAAAGAATGAAAGCGTTCTGCAATGTGACTCCTGTACTGTGATGGTGGGAGTTGAAGGCTTGTTACAGTATTCAAATATCAAACTACTCCCCCCGCGGCGCTATCCACTATTATACAAAATTGTTTTGATAATATATGCATGCTTAAACGGGATTCCTGCTGTATTTGAATGAGTCATTTATAAGTCAGTTGAGTAAGTAAACTGACTAGTTTGTGTTGCTGTTTTTTTAACAGCCTTAATTAATCACATTTAGTTACTCTTACTGTGTATTTTTATGAAGGGCTCAATTTAGTGGGATCAGTGGCGGGCCGTGCATTTCAACCTTAGGCCTTCAGTGACGTCACATACATGAACACAATACTGTATAGGCTCGTCAAGCAGCACTTCATTTCAGGAGCATTTAAAACCATCAAGTATGCATTCACAATTAAGAGCAGGAAACTAAATTTACAGATAGTCAAAAATAAAAAGATGATTTAAAAATACGAAATAAAATGCCACCCAAATTACGCTGCGTGATCTTAAACAAGTCTGTCCAATAAATTGCGCAATGTCGCAGTTTCATATAAGACACCAACCAAACAATAACAAAACAAACTATTCTTTGAAAATAAAGTTAACAGATCATTTGCATTTTGAGAAGAGGCTATACAACAGCAAATAACTGAAAATGTTGAGCAGCTGAGATTGAACGAACTTTAGTGCACGAAGGTGACTACAATGCGCCATTATAAATTGCAGGTGAGCAGATACATTTTTGTATCTTTGTCATTTTATTTCGTTACCATGAATTTAATACTAACGAAATAAAATGACAAGAAGAAATGTAAAATAAAATTCATTGACTCACCAATGTAGTTCTAACGCACCATAGCTTGTAAGTGCCCAGCCGTTTCCTTGCTGCCTTAGTAAAACAATCCAGTGTGGCTCCAAACACCAAATCGGTCAGTTGCAAGCAATAGGCATTCCCAGCAGTACAATTTGCAGCGTTTCTCAGAGGCTGTGAGCCACGGGTACTGTTCATAATTGCTCGTCTGAAAATGACGGACAAACCCTTTTCCTTGCTGGGACAGGCTAGCTAGGGCAAGAGTTGGGCGCAATATCCAGCTTTTCGTGGAAGGCCCGTCTTGAAAATTGTGTGGAAAGTAGTTCTGCAACCAGATCAACGTCTTCTCCTTCGGCCATTTTGGGTTAAAATGCGAGTGATAACTCTAGCAGGTGCTAATCCAATCTTTTTTTTTTTTTAATCTTTATTGAACAAGTCAGGATACAAATCTCAGGAAACAGAAAAGGCGCTAATCCAATCACCAAACGCGCACGGCCAGTCTCGACGTAAGGCCTTCTAGCTGGCCCTAGTATGCAGACAGTCAGACTTCGTGATCTGATTGGCTATTGAAACCTGACTGTGCCTGTTCACTTACAGCACACAGGGGCCTGCTCTGTTTAATCTGAAGGCCCCGAGCAAGTTTAAGTTACCTGGCAACACAAGCTAGCTGAAATATGATTGGTTAAAACCTCTACCATAATAAATAAGTTATTTATCGAGTGGCTTTCAATGTTATTTGAAAGCTATTGAAAGTAAATTTACTTTTCTGAGAATGTTTAGGCCAGCAGAGAAGGCCTTGCTGGCCCTGAGGGTCCGCCACTGAGTGGGATCCATTGAAAGATTAATTGGCGACCCTTAGATGATATTAAAATTAGTTTCTTGGGACCACATTCTCACTGCTCTCTTGGTCTGGCAGGTTTTCCGGTTTAACTATCTCATATGTCCAGTTTGGGGCACATGACTTCCCGTAGTTGCGTCATCGTATGTAAATTGTTGGAGTGGCAAGATGGCTACCGAACCAAACAAGACTGAAATACTTACTATTTTCAAACGACTGAGATCCATTCCTACCAACAAGGTAATTCAGTACGTCACGTTTACTGTACATGTACCACCCGGTCGATGTGTCTTTGTTTGATAGTCGTTGACTTGTTTCGTGTCTTGTGAAGAGAGGCCCAGCTCCTCGGTCGAAGCTAGCTGTGGCTAACAGCTGCTAGCCTGCCGGTGAACCAGCGAATATGAAGGCCACGTATACGACTTGTGCTGGCCGTTCTAAGCTAATCACATATGGCACATATGCAACGTCAAAAATGGGGCCCAAATGCGAATGAACCGATCCACCTTTACAGTAATAAATTACAGTCACGTTACATTTTCAAGTGGATTGGTGCAGTTAGTAATTCATTTGATAGGTATTTTTATAGGATGGTGGACTTCATGTCACGTCGTATTGCAGTCGTAGTTCTGCTTTTCCAATACTTGAAGTAAAATTTCCCACCTACTGTACTCATCCACTCTTAAGTGTAAATTAGCCAGAGTTTTCCGATTACGTTATATTGAATAAAGACAGCGCTCTCCCGTAGTCTCGCACTTGCCTCCATATCTTTGTATTTGCAACCAGATTAAAAATGACAATACACTTCGCGACTACTTCAGACTATGGTTATAAAAAGAATACAGCTGCATATCTTTGACTCTGTGAATCAATGCTAAAGTCAGAACATATGATTATAACTCCTGTATCGGCTCTTTTATATGTGATCACGATACAGTATACAGTAGTTTCCGCTCTTTATTGTACATGTTTTAAATTATTTTGTAATAACTTAGATTAAAAAAAAAAATAGCATGGATTAATGACTGTCACCCACAAGTCGATGTGTGATGTGGAGAAAATTTAAGAAGCATTTGTACTTCAGAGGTGTAAGGTGCTTAAATTGGAGTATTTATGCACTATTCCTCTACAGGTGTGTTTTGACTGTTCTGCGAAAAACCCTAGCTGGGCGAGCATACCATATGGCGTCTTCTTGTGCATTGACTGCTCTGGAATCCACCGTTCCCTTGGAGTGCACCTCAGCTTCATCAGGTGGGCTTCTGTTTTTTGGGGTTTTTTTTTCTCACAAAAAGAGAATGACAAATATGCAAGTGCATGATTGACAAGTGTCTTGCAGCAAAGTTCCTACACATGTGTGGAAAAGAAATGCATTTCATTTAATACATTTCCAGGTCTGGAAAACTATGGAAAATTGACACTATTGTATAGTAAAATATAAATTCTATCAAATACTAAGTTTCCAAGACTGTTGAAACAGTTTTATTTTCTAAAACAAAAAATTGTGGACATCTACAAAAACATTCAGATTTACGTGTTTTTAAGGCGCTTTGAAGCACAGCTGCAATGTGTATTTGAGAGCGCACAGTATTCTATCAGGGCATAGTGTGTACACGATTCTGATTAGCTCAGAAAATGACATCGGTGTATGTTAGGGCTGTAACAAAAAACAATTTAAACCAGTGTATGAATTTTAATTTTAAAAGTTGTGAGTGCACTGAATCAAGCTGAATAGAATAATTACACTTTCAAATCGAACCATCCTTGAATCGTGTCACGCCCTATGAACCTATCTGTATCAAATTGTCTTTTATTGGAGGGAAGCACACCCCAAGTGTTCATCATCAGCTGATAATTCAACTCTGCCCTATTTATATAGTGCTTTTCACAACAGCTGCAGCAAAGCACTGTACAGAACATGAGACAAAACATTAATTATACAAACCAACAAAAATCGTTTTCTTCACTCCAACATGCACTTTGTTGCACCTAATAATAGTAGTCTCCTTTCACCAGTTGATGAGAGATTTAATCAATGCATGGGTGATGTCACTCACATCTGCTACAAACTAACTTTGAAAGTAAACAAGCAACGGTAGCATCTGTTGGTGAGTAACACGCGCGCACAGAAAGAATGATTCACGTCTCCTGTTCCAATTAGATCCTCTACACTTTACTTTTCAAACACTAACTCTTGTCCACATCTCCTTCGGGCCCCATGTTGAGGACACTCCTCACTTGTCATCCTCAGCTCTGCCGTCCATCCATACCATCGCAGACGGTCCACCAGCACCGACATTTCTGCTGAACAGCATGGGGCTGTCGCAAAAATGCTGTCTCCATAAAACACCAACAGTCAAATAGCGCTCACATTCCCTGACAATAGATTTATTATTATGATTCGATATTTTGTGTTAACATATGCTACAGACTGCACACCCAGTGTCACAGCCACATTTTAAATTATTTTTTCTACAGTAAGACATAGACTCCTTTGTACGCAAAAGCCCACTTCCTGCCCCTATGGTACTCGGCTGAGCTGTTGTACTTAAATTTTGGGTCACAGATCGGCACTCTGCGCCCCCAAACCGGAGACGTGTTAGCAGCGTGTGTTTGATCCCCAAGTCGATCCACCATCAATAGTGGATAAATGTGCACCCGCGTCGTACCAACTCACATCTGACCCTCAATGTCAACAGAAAAATGTTCGATCAAGGGAGGTTGGCTACTTGAAAAGTAGATCATGGCTCAAAAAGATTATCTGATAGGGAATCTGAAGTTCTCTGAGGACAGAAATTTGCAAATTTCAAACAATAACGAGTGATTTAATCATTTACTTTATTTGGTGATTATGGCACATTTTATGACTGGGATGCTGCTAAAAACTTGAGGGGGGGAAAACGGAAGAGACTTAAGCGGCAAAAGTGTGAACTCCGTAAAATTTCAATGAACTTACAGACAAGAAGGATGAAATCAACCCTAAGAAAACAACAAAATTGTGAGTTAAAATGGCAAAACACTTCCTCGCACAACAACTGTCAAATATGAATTGCACACTTCACCAATAGTGGTTTGAATGAGAGCTTTGGACAATTTTATGCTGCCATCCTGTCAACGAAGACCGACAGAGAGCTCGCGTCAACCGTCACATATAAATACACCAAATATATGAGTAGTAACTGATTTCATTGTCATACTTAAAGTGGATATTTATTAAGCATTGCCAAATTAGAAAATGTATTTGCTGAGGTATTGAATAGTATTCACATTCCCTTAGAAAGTTCTAGGATTGGAATGGCTCTTCAAGCCCTCATGTACTGCAAGGGAAATGAAATTGTTTTCATAAAACTCTATATTTTCACTACAAAACGTAACATTAACATGATTGTAGTAATAATGGCTAACACGGTACAAGCAGGCTAATAATGCCCTTGGAGGTGTACAATTATCACCAGTTAATGGAGTTAGTCGAGGTAACTATCCTCCACAAATGTCACTTTTACAGAGAACCCTGGATACCAAAGTATGGACTTTTTCAAAACTCAAATGAGTAGGAATCCTGTTGTTCTAATTTCTTTTTACATGTCATTGTCTGTTCCGACTGTAAATAAATTGTATTTGTCCCTCTCACCGAGGATGCTTTACTCCCCCCTTTTTTTTTTCAGATCCACTGAGTTAGATTCCAACTGGAACTGGTTTCAGCTTAGATGTATGCAGGTTGGAGGCAATGCCAATGCAGTAAGTTGACACTGGCCTGACAAGTAAAGCACAAGTTTGACCAAAGTAAAGTAGCATTTAAAACAAAACAAAAAAAAGAACACTTTTGTCGGTTTTCAATCGCAGAGTCCAAATGCAATGTTGACCGGTCGAGGCATGCTGGAAATAACCCAGTTTCTCTTTCTGTTTGAAGACTGCCTTTTTCCGCCAGCATGGCTGCTCCACAAACGACACCAATGCCAAGTATAACAGCCGTGCAGCGCAAATGTACAGGGAGAAGATTAGACAGCAAGCCAACACTGCACTGTCCAAGTATGGAACAGATGTGAGTCTAAGTACAGATCAACCAGTGGGGAAGGACGTCCCTGAGAGTTTTTATTTTTTTATTTTTTTAAGTTGCCACTGTATAATGGTTTGTTCTATTTTGAATGCTGACAGACATCATTACCAATCAAAGTAGAGTACATCAGTCCGTCTAGTGTCAGAGGTTGTTGAGACACAACCAGCCTCAAAGAATGTAAGCAGTATTGTAGGCCATAGGGTGAGGGTGTTTACGAATGACACTGTCTATAGCTGCCAACATGCTATGAAAATAAATGTTAGAATTCAAAGTGGCCTTAATTGATGTTTGTGCCCATCCTCGCTTTTTCAAATGCAGCTATGGATTGACTCTTCTGGGGGGCTCACAGCAGCGGCTCCTGAGAAAAAAGAACAAGACTTCTTTGCAGAACACACACAGGTAGGCTGGGAAGATTAAAATCGTACAAATTTTGACACCAAGTTTGATGATGATGTCGATACTGAAGTTTTAACGTTGAACTCGCACTGCTCTGCCATTCTTGATGAGATTGCTCCCATACAGCCTCGTATTAGGCCAAAAAAAAAGATAGTGTGTTTCCGGTAACATAAAATTTCAGCGTAGGGTTGGTAGATCGGACAAAGTTTTTTTTTTTTTTCCCCCCATCAAAAATCTAAACAAAATAACCATAAAACATAAAACAAGGAGACAATGAACCCCCCGCTCGCCGCCGAAGGCGACGCGCACCGACCGACCCCGCGCCCGACACCCTCCACCGTCCTCCTCCACCGTCCTCCTCCACCGTCCTCCTCCACCGTCCTCCTCCGCCCTCGGTTTTTACTCGGCCCGTGGTGTTCATCAAATAGTTCGCTGAATTTTTTCAATACATCAATGGATGCTATTTTCTTAACATTACGGTGCGAGCATGCGACTGTAACACAGAAAACGCGGTTTAAACTGTCGTCGGAGATCGCGGCCGCCGCCATGATTCAATGTTGTTGACAGACGACAGGGCAAACGACGCACGCGCTCAACGTGAATATCGCGAGAGTTTGCACCAATGTAAACACTCTACACAAAAATGTAGAGGGTTGTTTGAAAAAAATGCCGACCGTAAAGTTTTTTTTTCGACGTAGAAATTCTCGGTCGGTCGGGTTACCGGAAACACACTACTTTTTTTTCTCCGCCTTATGACTACCGCTAACCCTTTGGTTAAATGACTACATTTGTTAGCTTCGTCGCAAATGTCGGAGAGCCGGGCGCTTGTGTAACTCAAGCAAGCTTCTTGTACATCATTTTAATTTGAAAGAACTGTTAGTTGAATTCAATTCTATGCTTAAGGAATGCCATATTTTGCAAATCTTATCTCCTCTAATGAAGAGTAATCCGAGGGTCATTTTCAACACCGAAAGTAACATTACTGGTGTGCAACCACCTGCATCCTCTGATAAGCACTGTCGTCCTTTCTTTAATGTTTTGTGTGAACATTAAATTAACCTGCTGCTGTGATTGTTCCGTATAAAGAACAACTGTATGGAACAGTATACAACTTTGCCAAAGGCTTACATGTTGTTTTGCAGCAGCGTGACACTACTCTGCGTGCTACGCAATAAGAAGTAATTCTTTGAGCACGAGGAGGTTCATGATCGAGTTTTTGAATAAATAAGGCAGGATCACCTTTTTGGTCTCTCCTACGACCTTTCATGGCAACTGCCTCTTTTCATTCTTCACGTTTGTTGCTGTTTGTATTGCATAATGCTGGTCGAGATGCCTCTACAAATTGTTGTGCTCCCGTTAAATTTCTCTTTATTTGCTTAGGCCAAACACGGCAACTGTCTTGTCAATACAGTCTCCTTTCTTGCAAAATCCAGTGCTTCCACTCAAAAATGAACACATTGCTTTGTCTTAATATTTGAAAATCTCCCTTAAAAAAAAAAAAAAAAAAAACAATGCTTGGGCCGCAAATTGCCCCGCACCGTAGTTTGGACACCCCTGAATTGTCAGTGAGCACAATGTGATCAGATCACGCAAAGCACCAAAAAATACACTCTGATTTGATGAATTAAGATATACTGTATATTAGGGTGGTCCACATTTTCATGGCAAAAAAAAAGTTTGTCGGATTCGTCGGGCCGGGTCGGAATTCTTGTCGATACTATGGTACAA